ACACTTTCAAAAAAGGGTTTAAAATTTGCTAGATATGCAGGCACCCAAACATGAAACTAAATATCCTGTTCATCGATTATCTCTTTTGATAAGGACTTTTAACAGCATCTACTTCCAGCCGATTAACGCTATTTTGCAAGTGAGGAAGCTGGAATGGCATTGAGAAAGGCACTACCGGGGTAAAACTTTTCTTTTCTTGGACCAATTTGCTTCAACTGCCCCTGCTTCCGATACCTAAAATCACGCAATAACGGAAACAGCTTTAGTAAATTTTCCCCAATTTTAGGCCGCTTATGATTGGCGTGGTTAGAATGCCCATCAAATTCTCCTTTCACTCTCAAGGCAACGAAGGCAAGTACCATTCAACGACTATCAAAGTACCTACCAAATTTGTCGAAATCATTTTGAAATTTTTGCAGTTTTGTCATCAATTAAACTTTGTGCAGAATGAAGAGTGAAAAGCTTACCTTGAAATGATGATTCTATGGCCTCCTTAGTTTTTACATTTTGTTTCTACATCCACTTCTGTTGCTACTATACATGCCTTGCTTTGTTTTCTGCGTTGTTTTCATGTCGATAATTCAAGTTCGAAGAACAAAGCAGTATCACATTACATTGCATTCTTGCTGTTGAAGATCTTCTATGTTTGGAAGCAAGAATAAAGCTTGAAATTATTTGCTTTTCCTTCCAACCACGTGCATTGCGTGATAACGTTGCTTTTCCAAAGTTTCCCGCCTATTTGTACAGACTCGTATTCGGAATGAGACTGCCATGGCAAAACTGGCAGAATGAACGTGTAGAATTCGGAAGGCATGGGTAAAGTTCCAAGGGGTGATGGAACAGCCCAGCAGCCAATGCTTTCCTTTCATATCCTTGCAATGACAACAAATGATATATGATGAGTTATTGTTGAAGATTAGGGCTTGTTTTTTTGCAAAATGTTCTATGTGTATAAACAGTTATGTATGGTTTAAAATTGCATTTTGAGTTTCAGACTTAAAGCGATCATTAGATAAAATTTTACGATTAATTTTGAATATCCAAATCGAGTACATTCTGAATCAAATAACTGACAAGACGTTTCTAAAAACAAAAATCTGATAATACAATACACCTCTCTGACATACAAAAACATTTCTTGAGCCCAATTCAAAAGATTTTTCGCTCGATCTTTCTCTCGACATTTGATCTCAAAATCGAGCGAAGTCGAGCATGGATGGCCAAACGATTCCATTTTTCGCTCGATTATTCACTCGACTTTTTACTCATGCCAACAAAAAGAAGACAAAGAAACGCAAAGCAGCTGATGCAAATGTCCTTTTACGAACTCTAGCGTCATAAGACCCTATTCGTTCGTTACATGCAGTAACCGTCACTAAATATTTTATTTCGTTTAGGCAAATTACTATTTTTAGGCATACTTTTGCTTCGTTTGATTAATTAAATTCTTAAAATGGAATTTACACTTTAAAATGTCCTCTGTACCTAGAGACCCCAGGGTAGTATACTTCCCTGCCCCTTTTGGCTGCTCCGCTCTCGAATAAAGCCCTAGCTCTTTTAAAAAAATAAGCATTAGAGGTGATAACTGCGCACGCGCTTACTCGACTCACTCGACAAGGTGGCTAAACGACTCGATTTTTCACTCGTTTGGCCGGGGCTTTAGACATCGCCAAATGGAGAGGAAGACTATCGAAACACTTTGGAAAAAATCAATTGCCGTAAATCAATGGAAATTTAAAAGCCTTGTTGTGTCGAAGCTCTCATGTACTTTTTTGTGTTCTTTGTGCATATTTTTCCAAGTTTCGAAAACATATTTATTTTGAAATTTCATTTTTTCGGCAAACTTAATATCACTGAAGGATTAAACAGCCTAAAAAATATAAACAAATTCAAACAAAGCGCTTCACCTTACCTGTTTTCATCGACAATTCATCTTTGGACCTTAGCCACCTCGTGGTTTCATAGTGTCCATTTAAACATAACCGTAGCATTGCATGTCAAAGCCTTTTATAAAATGCAATTGAAAATGAGAAAAATATTTTTAGCATTTTAGCGGCGCATGTTTTTCTTGGTGCAAATGGGTTGTTGCTAGCAAAGTGCGTTTTTCTTTTGAAACGTGCACTTCTCGAAACGAAATTTTGTATTGGCATACTGTCCCCTAACTTAAAGTGGCTTTTGGAACTTTTGCTCTGCATCAGAGCCTAGTTGTTATTTTGTACAGTCCTTAGATAATAACTTATAATTGGTATGCCATTGACAGATTTGGAATCGAATTCTCATAACAATATGACTTTATCCATATATCTAAACCAGATATACTGTTATGGGAAAATACGAATGTCTTTAAAACGAAGGTATGATGGAAGGATTCAGGTGAACCGATGGAAATTTTCTTGTTTCGATTATTGGGTACTACTCCTGAAGACATCTATAACTGATGGCCCTACAGAGATACTGCGAATCATAGTTTTGACACTGCGAGTCAGATTTTTTACGTGGAAACAGTCAGTGGCGGAGCCACGGGGAGGGGGGGATGTAGGGGGACTAGTCCTCTCCCCCATTTTTCAGAAATTCGGTCCTTGAGATTCTTGCAATCCTGATGAAAAAACTTGGGGGGGGGGATATGTACGTTGTATAGATCGTCACGTTTAAATGACATTTCTTGGGAGACAAGAGGTGCTTCCTCCGGAGAAAAATGTTTCAAACTGGGGAAAAGAGGGCGTGGTCCCTGACACACTTTTGTCCCCCCACTTATCTCAGGTTGGAGCCGCCACTGGAAACAGTAGTGGTATATTTTCATTTGCATTTTAGGGCTTCGACATTTCTGAATGTTGCAGTATAACAAATGTGATTTTGCAACATCAGCAGACAGTGAATTTATTGTTTCGGAACATTTGTATTACATGTCCTACTCCATGTGAAGATCATATTTGTAGAAAATGGAACTCAAGCAGTGTTATAAAGGGAGGGATGTTGCTGCACCTGTACAAAAATTGGACCGTTGAAGTATGTTCCAATCTGAATAAACTGACAACGCCTGTTCTGTTTGAGGCTGCTTATGGGTAAATTTACCGACAACTTAAAATTCAGCCTAATTTCTTACTAAATAATGCTGTTTTTGACACATTTTTTTTCAAATGTTTACAAACAAACAATTCCCAAACATATAATTGAATGCCGCGAAACTGTAATTAAATCTTAAAACGTACCATTGATATAATGAAGAAGAACAAGCAACTTTGAACGAGATTCTAACTGTTACAACTTTAGCAAGAAAGCAGAGGGCAAAACACTCTATTAAAACCTTAAACACTTTTGGTTCCCCTCGGAGCTTTACTGCGTTGGTATAGAGAAATAAAAGAGAACAAAATCACGTTTATAACACTCTTTCTTCTTTTCTTCTTAAATATATAAGAAAGCTATAAATAGTAAACAGATGTTCAATACTTATAATACATTAGCTTCAATATTAATTTCCGGATGACAATGATAGACAAATGTAAATATTATTTAATAAATTATTGATATTTTTTACTGAGTAAATATTATAAATACGTTAATTAAATGAAAACCAAGGATTAGGATACTCGCAATTTGTAACCGGCAAAAAACTCATCTCCGAGTTTATAATATAACCTATTCGTTCGACACGATAGTTTTGCATCATATATCAAGTCAGTTGCCTTCACAAGGTAACAATACATTCTCTAGGTAACACTCAATTATATTCAAATTTAGAAATATGTATAAATGAGGTGAAAATAAAAGAGATAAAAGAAACGATTTCGGGCTGAAAAGGGGTTTACCATTGCAAAATCAGTCACCTAGCTCAAGGAGTTTAAATGATATCTGCTTAGCAACAATCAGGTCAGGTTCTAGCACGCCCAGTCTATACAATCTCGTACCATTAAGAGGTGACCTTAAAAAAATTTAAAAAATACAGTTTATTATTATCTAAGAGTGTGTTCTTGTGCCACGTTTCTCTCATCAAGTCATGGTCTATAGACGCACCAACGGACAGCGTCACCTTCCATAATCTGATGAGTGGCAGGCCTATGGTTCTCGACTCGGCGCGGGGGACGGAACCGTCGTCCAGGCTTGCCAATAGTAGGCCATATGTTCAGCACCATACCAAGAAGGATACAAATGCTTTTAATGAGGTTGAATCCTTTTCCAAGCCCAGTTCCGCGCACTACGATGGCAGGTGACATTTTTCAACGCAGAAAACTCTGGAGGCAATACAGATTTGGTGCTCCATCACATCGGTGGCAATAGTAAGGCAACCTTTGTACGCCATGAAACACGAGTTTTTACATTCAAAGAACTTTGGGCTCTTTGCCCTCGAGTGAGGCATTGTTTGTATCGATGATGCTAGGAGAAGGACAATCATTGATACCAGAATGATTTTCAATGTAACTTTTTCGCCAAAGAACTGGGTGAAACTGCTTCTCCCTTCCATCTTCTTCTTTCTTTGCGACAATTCTTTAGACTCTGATCAGTAAACTTTTGCAGTGATATCTAAAAGAAAATGTTAGGTATTTAAGGCATTCCCCTTGGTATTCAAAGAATTATTAAAAACTTTAAACCCTTACGCAATCTATTGATTCACGTGGAAACCAGAGACATGATGCAATGGCTTGAAATAACTGGAATGTGTTATCAGTCGCCGTATCAGGGCTTTGCATTTCTCCTTCAATAGGGACAGACGCCATGAATAGCGGCAGGAAGCACCGAGGAGTTTCAGTTCTTCCGAGTCACTGTGTCGTGATAAACGAATTCGAGATAGGGAGGCTTCAGCGGTTCTTTCCGGACGCAACCGGGCAACATACATTTACCCTCCCATTCATAGTAGCAAAATTTCACATGTTTTAAATACGCAATACGATTCCCAACTGCGGCTGACGCTGCGCAAAATTAACATACACATATATCAAAGATATAAATCAAAGCCACGGAATCCGAAACTAGGTATAGCGATTGGGCAACGTAAATTGAAAACTTTCCAATCTGGCTATAGACTGTTTAAGATTGCATTACAACTATATGAATGGCAGACTTAAATTGCTGTCGTAATAACTGCAGGACGTCAGACTTGTGACTAAATATAACTAGTGGTTAGGATAACATGCTATTTAGAGACCCACAAATGAGTCAATTTCCCGTCGCCGAGCTAAAAACGCAGAAGAACGCTTCAGCTGGACGGAGGAGGCGAAGGACCGAACTGGAGTTGAAGGCAGAAAACAGAGGAATCTTTAGCATACACAAATTGAAATTAGTACCACTTTTTCCTTGTGCACGTTCTCGCTGGACACTATTCAAGACATAGAGTGGGGGCAGCGGCAAGGGAAAACTACAAACTCATATCAAAAGATTTGGCAAAAAGGATTTATTTCACAAACAATTGGAAGGGGGCATGCCCCCAAGAGGCTCTTTGTCGGAGGCCCAGAAAATTAAATATGAAATTACTGCCCATAAAAATTAAACAATGAATTAAATCAAATGTAGGTCTTGTATGTTAATTCTAAATCAGATTTGCATTTTATTTTATCATTTCAAGGGTGTGCCTCACATTTCATCCTTAAAAACCCCGACATATATTAGATACATTGGATCATATCATTAAACGGGACAAATTAATTTAACATTTATCTATATATACTCAGCACATACCTGCTGAAAATATCTTGAAGATGTGCTTTTGTACTTGAAAAAAACTAGCGTAGCTTAGACTGTCGACATCCACGTCTCTTTCTGCTGAGTAAAATCTTATCTGACAATATCTTGTTTATGAGTCCTATCAACTGTGGTTTTCGGCGATAAACAAAGGTAAATTGTTAGCAGAACAAACATGAGTGGGCATATTGTCAAACAATAAATGCAATTATATGCGAAATTATGTCATTAGGGGCGATTTTATACCATACTGCGCGAATAAAGAGCTAGAGTCAAACTTCCTTAGCAGAAGGTCACAGAAAGGTGCCCTACTTTCCGGCCTGGCAGTTCTTGTTCTGATCATGACTCATACGGGCCTTTCTTTGACAATCAACTTGTGGTTTTAACAGAGGATCTACAGGAAGATAAGACAAATAAATGCCATAAGAAAGACCTTTACTTCTCTAAAGCTTCTAAGGACGTTTACTTCTAAGAATGTTTTTTTCAACAAAACACGTTCATCACCTGGCCGTACCATTTTCCCGATCATCTTGGGCAATCACAGCAAAACGCAATTATCAACCGGTCGTCTGGACTGAACCTGAACTGAGGCACCGAGAACCTGGCCCTACGCAAGGCAGCTAACAAAACGTATTGCATTGTTCAATCAATAAAAGAAATCCAATTATCAGTTTTCTCAGTTTTTTTGCCTTGATATGCATCTTTGAAGATCGAAAATTTCGGATGGCAACCTTTCGGAAAAACAACTTCGGACAAAACTCTCAAACACTTTTCACATAATACAAACTATAATTTTACGTTAATCAATCATGGACTGCTCAAAATAACTATATAGATGTAATAGGAAAACTCAACAAAGACAAATAAGAACTGCTACTTTACAAGAGGAAAAAGATTTGTTTTACAACATCTAAAGATTTTTTTGTAGATTTAGCAATATTTGCAGAACGGTTTTTCTGCCTATAACTATGGGAGAATCAAGTTTGCTTTTATTTGAGAATCTTGAAAAATATATTGGTATAAAACTTTCTTACTCATGCCAAAGCTAGACACTTGAGGATGGTATGGTTTTCTTTGACAATTTTTTTCGAAAATCAAATATTACATTCGTTAAATGTTAGTCACTGTTTTTGCATTGCATTGTCATTGTCGATTGATATTTTATGCTATTTACACAATGTTATTCCAAATATAAGACATTCCGAAAATATCAAATTTAGTTTTTTTATGACTGATCAAACAATAGTACCAAATCAATAATTGTGTTGATGCTGATGGAAGCGACCATGATTGAGGGTGATGACGATTGAGGATGATTGAAGATCACTGATGATATTTCATTATGATGATGACAATTGATGACGATTGATTGATTTATTGACTGACTGATTGATTGATTAGAATGATTGATTATGACGAAGACGATTGAAGATGATTTATCTCGACAACGATTGACGACAATGATTGATTATGATGATGAAAATCGGTGATGATTAATTGATTGTTATGATTGTTATGTTATGATTAGGATGCTTGATTATGATGACGATTGGTGTTGATTCATCTTTACAACGATTGAAGACGATGATCGATTTTGATGATGGCAATTGATGATGACTAAACCTGACAATGATTGATTATGATGACTGACGATGGCAATAATCATATCAAGAATAAAAATGCAAAAAATATTAAAAAAGGATCAGTCAGTCTAAAAACACAAAGCCCATCACATCCTCACTAAAATGATCACACTATAAAAATAATCAAGAGAATTAAAATGATGGCGCTACCGGTATCTTTATTACCCTCTGAAAAGGTCTGTTTTATGATGCCGCATCTTTTATTATTGCTTAGAATCTTGTTTATCTCCTTGCTTTTGCACATGGAGAGAACAGGGTATTTAAAAATCCTTTTATGAAAATTGGCAGTGGTTCGGACAAGAGTCAGGAAAGAATAGGCCAAAGATTATTCATCTAATTATTTAGAGACGCAGGTGATTCATATATTTTGATAAAGCTTGATTACTCTACAAAAACTTGGGCTTGTTACCTGATTCCCAAACCTGAAAATCATATCAGTGAGAGGGCTATTTAAAGAACAAATGAAACACTGCTGGGTTTGTAAAGCAAGAGCGTTTGACAAAGCTAAAATCAACTAACGGATTATTCGTAAATGAAGGCACTAGCAAACAGAGGAGCCATTCATATAATACCTTGTTTCAAGATAGGGATATTTTTCTCCCAAACACGGGGTAGTAACCTCAAAGATCATTCATGTTCTTCTCTAATTTTTCCTCTCTCGAATTTCACATCTATTTTCCCATAAACAGATTGCGTAGACGTGCTCCATTGATGCCTCTTAGTTGAGTATTTGAAATTCGGATGTTCTGCTTAAAATGTACAAACCACGCCTTTAGAATTGGGGATACAGCATAAAACAGCTAATCTAACACAAAGGTACAACCACGCAGAGGAGATTCCAGTCCAATTTACAAGATAAGAACAACAAACAGGAAAGGTTCAATGATACACGATGTTAGCGCTACTACAGGCACGCAGAACGCCACAACAGTTTGTTCTGTTTCCCCTCACATTTCTTTTTCTGATCTTATCAAGACAAACGCTGCCTCCATCATAGGAAGGCGAATTTTACGACGGTACCCTTTATCTTACACATCTATACGCAGACAGCAACAGCTTTGCAGTTACCAACAGATGCATTCCCTTTGTTTTGGAATTAATACGTACTTTATCAAACAATACCTCTTCCTTCTCATTAAATATCTTTATTCCAATTGCAGCCATTGAAGGCGACTTAAAAATATAATAAAAAGTAGCAAAGGTTTTTTCATGAGGTCGTTTAAATTTTTTCACAAGATAAGTATTTTGCATGGACTTCGTTTGTTTCAAATTGTATTTGAAACAAACGCAGAGTTGGGGCAAGTGATAGTTTACCCTGGGTTCACGAGCGTCAACTGTCAGCTGGACAGAGTACACAAAAATATTTATATGTTGTTATTGCTGCTGTTGCTGCTGCTGTTGCTGCTGCTGTTGCTGCTGCTGTTGTTGTTATAGATATTTATAAAAAGACTGATATTTAGAAACAGAAAAATTATTCTAGCGTGAATGTTCGATATGTATACAAAACTACAAATACAAAAGTTCTTGGCGAGAATTTTGCATCCCTTAGATTTGAATCCGTATGAATGCAATATAAGGGCAATTATATTAGTTGATAAAAGGCGATTGGCCACCCATAGAGGGCTGGCTAGCTTAGTATTTGCAGGGATAAATGTCATTACTGTTAATATGAAATACACCACATAACGTTTATTTTAAGCGTCAACATGGACAGTTTTATTAAGCTACTTAAAAGCTATTTTAACCTGAAAAATGTAATATTTGTCCATATCTAATACGCAATGGGTGGCGTGGCAGATAAGGCTTTGGAAGTGAGTTTAAAATACTTTAAGCTGTCCCATATCAAAGCCTGCTGGAATGTTTCGCATTTCAGAGAAAACTTTGAAAACAATGCACCCAATATAGAAACGATAAAAAATACCAGCTGCTGAATAACCTAATTATTCAATCTTGATACTGGCAAATAACGACGGAAAAACATGGAATTTCGCCTTTCATCTACCAGCCATTTCCATCGGCAGTTTTTACAACTGACCAAAAATGGCATTGTGGTTTGTGGAAAATCAATGATTTCCAATCAAAGATTTCTGACTATTTTGGCAACGAATAGGACTGAATTATGGGGTTGCAATTATTTCTAACATTCCAGTATTTTAGGGCTTGCCTTCCTTAGAATTACTGCTAGCTTAATGACAGTTGATA